TTAAGAGAATATTTAAGCAAATGGATTTAGGACCAGATGCAATCTGGCTTAGGTTTGCTGTGATGGGGGAGTAGGGTAGGAGGAGCTTTCCTCCCCCAGTTTTCTGCTGTGTTCAGGCAGGATGCACTTCAGTTGCTGTGTTGCTGATTGTACTGTGTGTACTCTCATGTCCCACTGATTTCAGCATGAGGCTCATGTGGGTGACAGCGGCAAGGAAGAGCTTTTGGAGAGCAAGCAAAAAGAGAGTTCATTTACCACTCTGGGGGCTTTCCCTTGCAGCAGGGTGAGCAAAGGATGGGCCAGTACCCAAGAACACTGGATTTCCCAGTTGGGACCAAGAAGGGAATTACAGGACTGACCATTTACACAAGAGACTCTGTTTTCATTCGGATTCCAGACCAGATTTTGAAAGAAGGTGTGAGAGAGATGTTGACCAGAAGTGGCAGGGCCTAAACAGAGTGTTTGCCAATAGAGTTATGAAAGCTGTAGGTGCAAGGGCACCATTTTGGGAGGGTAGTGGAGGCAGCAGCCATGCACTGGGATGCAGCTTGCTTTTCATCCCATTCCCCAGACTATCAGGGAGTGAGGGGAAAGTACTTGCATTCTGTACATGCCTCCCACCCCTGGCTGTGAAGGGAGCCAGAGGTGAGAGGCATGCATGGAATGCAAGTACTGTACTTTCTCCTCACTCCCTGACAGTCTGGGGAACGGGATGAAAAGCACGCCGCATCCTGGTGCACACGGCTGCTACCCCCACTAACCTCCCAAAATGGTGCCCTTGTTTAGGTGCTTGTCTGAGCTCCGTAGTGAGATCTGCTGTGACAGCACAGGAGCCCTTTACACCCAGAAGAGCAGATGTTTGGGTAAATAGCTGAATAGTTAAGCACTGATCCTAACTGAGCCCTTTCTTGCATGTCGCCTGTTGCTGTCCCCCCCCCCCACATACCAGCCGCCTTCCTGCTGTGCCTGCGCGATTTTATTATGCCTTTACATAATTGCCCTTTTTTTATCTGATCAGCAGCTTTTATGAAAAACATGATCTTTAAAGAGGACCCTGCTGCTGTATGTCTGGTTTTCGTGATAGAAATATTTCACTGGTGATAATTCATATTGACTACTTTGATTTTCTTGTTGTGGATGGGTTCTGCAGCTGTCACAAAGCACACACAGGCAGCAAAGGGTTATTGGCATTTAGAAGTCACTGTTAGCTTTGTGCCTTGGTAGAAAGCCTATCTTTGGCATTAATTGGATGCAGAGTGCCCATGGCGCTGAAAGTCCCTGCCAGGTAATGAATATACACAAATCAAGAGCAGAAGCATGAGCAAGTAATAGAAGCACAGAGATGGGAGTTAGAATGCATCTGTGTTCTCCCCTGACTCTGCCACTAATTCACTGTGTGACTCTGGGAAATCACTTCACCGACCTGTGCCTCAACTTCCTTGTCTTTGTGTCTTTAGGATCAGAATAGGTTCTTGGCTTGTGTGTGTAATGGCTTAATGTGTTACATGTGTAAAGGCTATACGATCTTGGGAGGTTCAGTTGAGGGCCAAAGTATTATTGTAATGAGAGGTCCAAAAAACCTGAAAGCTCTTTTCTTCCCAGAATTTGTGGGTGTTTGACCCATTACTGAGGCAGTCACAAAGCTCACATCTGGATTATACATTTTCATGGTGCCCAGAGTTGCTAGACTGATTAGAGAGGTGTGAAGATAGGCTCCCTAAGAGTTTCTAATCTGAATAATTTAGAAATCTGTTGTTTAGTTTCAAAGTTTTAGCATGAGCTCCACTCTAATTATTACAGCAAGCAGCACTGAAGTGTCAACCTGGTCGTGATTTGTCACATCTTCTACACACAGCATGTGAAATGTGCCTGGCTGTGAGAGATACTAACTGCGAAGCTTTTGTACAAACCTAGGGCTGATTCATGGTCTTGATGCACAAACCTGCAGTTTCAATTCTTGTGGAATTTCCAGGTGTGAAAGTTACAGGGTGTGACCTTTGTGAATATGGCGACGCTGTCAATAAAAACCCATGGCTGGTCTGTGCCAACTGGCTCAGGCCCACGCAGCGGTGACAGAAAGCTGGTATGGCTTGGGTCGCCATGCCAGCAAGAAAGTGGTCAGCAACTTCTGATATGCCAGATCAACTATTTATAGCCTGTATGACATATCAGAAAGACACCATACTACCCCCAACCCTTCCACGGAGCTGCCTCTCCTCCGGGTCCTCTGTAAAGCAGCAGCCCTGGAGCAGAACAGGGCTAGGGGGAAGTTGGGAGTGGTACAGCAGCCAGAGGAGCTGCCAGCACTCTGCTCCTTTCCTCGCTGCCGCTTGCCGGAGGGAAGAAAAGCAGAACCCTGCCCCTCCCATCCCTGTCCTCTGGGTGTACAGAGCTAGAGAGGTAGGGGACGGGGCTGGGGCTGGTGCCCCATTTCCTGCTGGCAGTGGCAGAGCAGGGAAAGCAGCAGAACTGCTGGCAGCTCCTCTGGCTGCCGTACTGCATGCCCAGGCTCTCCTCCCCACTTACGGTAACATGGGATGGGGAGGGGAAGAGCATGGGGGCCCCAGGTGAGGGATGGGCTTACATGGGGGGTCCCATGGCTCCTCTTAACTAGTGTGCCCTGCCCCCTGTGCCAGGAAGAAAAGAATTTTACTTGCACCCCTGCTGCAGGGCTCACGTTACAGGCCTGGTTCTCTGTCTTGTAGGCTTCTGGGCTGTAGGACTCACTCTGCCAGGTGGGAGGGTCCCAGAACCTAGGCTGCAGCCCCACCCAAAAGTCTACACTGCAGTGAAACAAGCTTGGAGCCTGACCCCCATGAGCCTGAATCAGCTGGCCCTGGTCAGCCCCAGGTTTTTATTTGCAGTGTAGATATACCTTCTGTGACTGAAAAGTTCAGTGAATCTGGAAATGAATCTGCCAAGTATCCTGGCTGACCAGTGTTGTAACAGAGGAGAATCACTTACCCTTTTCAGGGGCAGCAAGGGTTGGGAATGCAGAGGAGGGAGCATGCTCAGATACCAGAGATACCAAGAGGGAGAAGAACCCTGTTGGTTGTATTAAGTGATACCTGTCCCTTGGCTGACTCAGTAGTTAGCACTGGTGGATTTTGGAGCAAAAAGAACCTCCCGTCAGTGAATTAGTGCCACTGTGCCACTTGGTGATGTGTTCACTGGAATCGAAACTGCCAACTATTTACAATTTGCCATCTTGATAAAATGAGCCAACACCAACAGAGCTATTATCTGTGCTGTGGAGGCAGCCAAGTGTTGAATAAAGAAGAGCAACAATATTTATGGGGAGCTGTTGTTACAGATAGTGATATATTCCATTGTATGATACACAAGCCCTATTGGAAAATGCCATCAGCGGTATTATATGATATACAACATTACCATATTCAGGAGCTGGTTCTGAATGATGCATGCCTGTGGCTGGCCAAGTTTAATAAATCAAACTTTCTTACCTATTAAGAACAATTCTGCACTTAGCAGCTTTGGTATTTGTCACCGTTGTAAACATACAGATTCCTAGTGTGACATGGTGAATGTTGCTATAGTTCTGACTCTAACAAGCCACAGCACAGAAGGTTAGAGAAGGTTGCCAGGAAGACATAGACCTCATTTTTAAAAACACCTCTGCTAAAGATTACTATTAATTACATGTATTGCCACTTGTAGGCTTTCATTGGAGATCAGAGCCCCACTCTGCCGGGCACACATAAATGAGAGTCTGAATCCCAGCCAATGTGAGGAAACAGCCCTGTTTCTGGTAGGTAACTAGAGAGTCATGCTGAAAGTGATTTACAATGAAAAAACTCAGCATGCCACCCTTACATTAGTATCTGAAATAATGCATACATATTTCTGATGTCCAGGAAAGCTTGGTTA